TTTTTTTTTCACCGTTCGTAATCGACAGGTGGGGAAACGGGGACGAGGGGGTTGAATTTTCTAATTAAGCTTGCTACATTTTTTCGCTGCTATATTTTATTTGCTGCATTTTTAAAACGTCGCTTATTTCGTCTCTTCTTCTTCTTCTTCTTCTTCTTTTTTCTTTTCGTTTCCTTTCTGTCGAGAGTTGCAACGAGAACGAACGCTAAAGAGCGAAAAGGAAAAAAAAAAATATATATATATATATATCTGTCCTCTATTTGCCTGTTCGTTGCTTTTCCGTTTCTCTGTTTGTTTATTCGATAAAGACGAATTTTACAAGATCGGCGAGAAGTTACTTCATTAGAGGATAAATTAAATTACAGAATAACCTACGTGCTTCTCTGTGGAAAGAATGAAAGTAATTGTGCAGGAGAGGAGAGAATATGCACGGACTTTATACTTGCTGAATGCCTCGCTTGCTAGAAATCGAAGGACAAACGTACACATCTCAAATGAAGCTTCTCTATATGCAACAGGATGCACGTGTGTAACTGTCACTCTTCTTCTCTCTGTCTGGCTGTATTTTCTGTCGCCTTTTGTATGCGTCGTCAATCAATAAGAACCCCTAACAAGCTCCCTGAATTAGAAACACTTAAACGACTCGCAAGCATCCTCGCATCCTCGCATATAATCTACTTACATGCATACATGGATATATACACGCGACACGTCGACGACTCTTACTTTTCGCATAATAATTAATCGCGAAATTAAATTCCTAACGAGAATTAAAAATATCCCTTTCTCGATATATATATCGTTCTCTCATCACGTTCTGTATCACGTCGAGAATTAAAAGATCGCGTCGTCGTATGGAAAACACGAAAACCGCGGGGAGGGACGTTCGCTTTCGTACATGTGCTTGCTTCACGCTGAAGAGAAACCGCTTGTCATTCCTCTTACATTACATAACACCATGCAATGCTCGCTGTCGATGGACAATCTCCACACGATGACAATTTGCACAGCTCACTCGAACACCAAAGATCCTGATTTTTCTTCGACGAAACCAAGCCCCGGCGGGAGAAACACAAAACTTTGCAACCGCGTACGTTTTTCTCTTCGAACCCCTTTCCTATCTCTCTCACGATTTTATGAATCCTTGTTCACAGCTCTCTTCGAACCTCACTCGTCTCGCGCGTGAAATCCTAATTTCAAGTTCCTTTCTTTTTCTCTTTTTCTTTTGTCTGTCTGTTTGTTTGTTTCCTTCCTATCGGCTTTCTGAGAGGGTATGTTTCGAGCTACGCTCGACGATCCTACGAAAAATAAAAAAAAAAAGTACCTCCCTCCTCCCCGATACGACCATCGAGCTTGCATATTCCCATTTACGAATAATTAGCCAGCGATCGTGGGATCTCGTTCGATTCAACGACCAGCACCAGTAATTTACAGTAACGCTCCTACATAGCTGGATATCGATGATCGATAGAAACGTCGTTCTCACAAAGAGCGAGAGTCACGCTGGTACTAGCCGAGCAGTCGCAATTAGATTTTATATTTCTGATTGATCTCTAAGCCTAGCTAATTGGACTCTTAGCGTAGCCGAAGGGAACGGCCGGGGGGTGGGGGGCGTTGTAACTCTCTCTATCTATCTATCTCTCTCTCTCT